TTAGATTGGCCTCCGAGTCTGGTACCCTTAAACATTGGTGCACAGTCCTACACTAGTCGGAGGGGAGGAGCTTCCAGGGCTCACTACATTTGAGGGCTTCAAACCGTTTTCAGCCCAAAACAATTTCAAATTTGAGAGAAATTGGGTTCTGGACAATAACGATCGTGGCTCATCTTCACTGAGAGTCTATGTGCACAGGCACTGTTTTTAACTACCCTATATTCATATTCACCACCTAAATTTCAGAGCAATCCTGAGAGGTAGCTGCTATTATCATCACACCTACTTTTTAAATGGGAAAATTGGGGTTGGCTGACTTTAAGCATTAAGCCCAGACTCATGGAGCCAGCACGCAGCACAGTGGGGTTAGGATCTGAAGCCCAGAGGGTTGACTTCGGCGTCTGTCCCCAAGCACACTTAGCCTGTGTGCTTGACAAAGTTTGGTGACATTTATTCTGCAGCCCAGTCTTTGATGGTACATTAGGAAAACTATGCCCCTTGAGGGTGAAGATGATAGTCCCGAGATTCAAAAATGAAACACACCTAAGCCAGAAAAATGTTGTCCTCACACTTAAGTCACCTACAAAATAAAATAATCAAGTCATGTCTCTAAAACATGTCTCTGAGACTGAAAGTCTTAGCAAAATGGCCTAAAGAATTCTCTGAGCAAGTTTCTGTGGAATCCAGCTTAGAAAACCTACGTGCAGTCCAGGTTTCCTCTTCCAGAAAAGACCACATCAGTCTGAATTGATCTGTTGACTGAATCGATATCAGTATCAGCCTGGTTTGTCAAAGAGACTGCCCTGGTCTCCAAACCTGTTCCTCCCTCTAGGTGCTTAACACATGTTTGGTGAATGAAAGGATGAATTAATAAATGAGCACATCTACTTTCCTCCTTTCTTCCTTAGCCTGACTGCCACTTTCCAAGCAAACAGTTTACGGTCACCGCATTAGACAACATTTTACAACTGCTCCCTGTGGCCTAGCGTGAAATGCAAGCTTGTCTGGTCTTCAGGGTTCTCTGCTAATCCCAGGTCTGTCTGTATCTGAACGGTCCCTACCCCAAAACTATCATTTGCATTTCTTTGTCAACAGTTACTTGTGACCCTGAGGCTCTTTACACTTGCCAGTCCTTTTTCTTGGCATGCTCTCCCTGCTCTTATCATGGATATATAGAGACATAGATCTTCAGAACCAGATAATCATCTGGGGATCTTAAGTGAACCTCCCACCTGGAACTCAAAAACTCTTCAGAACATCCCCATCCTCCATCAATCAAGCCCTGCTTTGAACATGACCGTTCATTTGTCTCATTTGCCTCGTGAAGTTGTTATTACAAAGTGACCTCTGTTAAAAAATATTTCCTTCTTTAATTACTACGTGCATTCATTCATTGATTCTTTCTTTCACCTTTGTTTATCAGACACACAGAGTGCCTATTCTATGGCAGGCAACGTGCTAGACTCCGGAGAACGTGAAGATGAAGAAGCCATGCTCCCTGCCCACTGCTCTTCAGAATCGAACAGCCTATGTTTGTTGAAAGACAGATGTGAGCAGTATTACCAAATTCAGTAAGATGCCACCAGAGTGTGCACCAACACAATGCTAGGACAGAAAAGCAAAGACACATCGATTCCTCTCAGGAGGAACTGGGGCTTGACCTGAAGACTTCCCAGAGGAAGCACTAAGAAAAGCTAAGCCAAGGATGAGGTGGTTACAGTCAGGCTGATAGGGTGGAATGCGGTGACACAGGAAATCTCAAACTGACTATGAAGTGAACATTCTTCACGACTAATTGGGATACGGCCTAACTGGCACTCATTGAAAGGTTATTTTCATGCACTACCATGGCTGGATGAATTATTCTTTCAGAGGCAATTTGAGAAAACGAATCAAAAACCATATAATAGCCATACCTTAGATTGACTAATCGCACCTATGTGAATGTATCTTGAGGAAATAATAATAAAAGCACAAAAGAGTATATGCACACAGAGAGTGTATCTGAGCTCATTAAAATATAGGAAATTGAAAACTAAGCTTCCGTGCCCTTCACTGGAAGATAGGCTAAAAGACAATAGAGGGACTATTATACAGCTATTCACTTTGAATCTTATGTGACAAGTTGGAGATATTTGTTCGTATCATGCTAAAGGAAAGGAAGAATAAATGTCTAAGTACGATCACCACTTTGTTTTAAAACTCATAACATAGCAAAAAGGGTCTGGGAAATAACACCAGGATGCTAAAAAAAAAGAAAAAGAAAAAAAAGTTAGACTTGGATGAGGGAAGTTGTGAAAGACAAGTTCTGTTCTTTTCTCTGTTTTCAAACTTTCTGGTATATGGGTGTTTTATTCACTGTAAGCAGTTGGACTTTTTGTTTTGGTTTTATTGTTTCAATCTATGGTTTGAATTTCACCGTCTACAATCTTGGTGTGAATTCCTTCCAGAAGTCAGCAGGTAAGTATTCTAGTTCTTTATTTTTTTTTCCTCTTCTCACTGATTTGTAAGTACTCAAGTTTAAATACATAGTAGATGTATAGTCAATGACACAGCAGCTGACAAAGTAGAGCACATTTCCCTATACTCTGCCTTCCTTGGGCCTCAAGACTGTTAAGAGAAAGAACACTTGACACTTAATAGACACCCTTCTAAGCACTTCATTAATTACTCACAAAAATACCATGAAGTAGATATTATTATTATTATTAATATTATATAGCTAAGCAAATCAAGACACATAAAGATAACCCAAAGTTACCCAGCTAGTGGGTCACAGCTAGAATTTAAGCCCAGGGAGTATGGCTCAAGAATCTCTTCTCTTAATCACTCAGAAGAGGAAGTTTTGAAATAGCCACCTAGCTGGACAGACAGGCCGGCAGGCATGTAAAACCTACACAGATAATTGGTGGTGGGGGTGGGGCACTGGGGTTGGAGGGTGGGGGCAGAGAGACGGAGCTCAAAGATTACTCATGCAAGCCCCTTCTCAAATGGAAGGCTCGATCTCTGGCAGCAATTTCTCTTTCTGAATGAGAGGATGGCAGATGTCATCTGATCAGATGCACCTGAAATACAAGCAGTCACCTCTGTATACATATAGCATCAGAAAGGGTTTAGAAGTAGCACTTTGCTAAACATAAGGCTAAGGGAGCTATACGTTTCCATCTACATTGATGTAATGATTGTCTGGTGAGCTGGTTTAGAACTAGGTGATTAACTAAAGTTGTAGACATCCCAGGGCTAGAACAGAACTTTTGAAGCCCTCTAATGCAGACTCTGTCCATTTTCCCACCCCTAACATACATACATATATTCTTTCTTTCTTTCTTTTTTTAGTTGGCGTCTCACTCTGTTGCCCAGGCTGGAGTGCAGTGCCCAGTGTCCACCTGCTGGGCTCAGGCGATCCTTCCAATCCTTCCGTCTCAGCTTTCCAAGTAGCCAGAACTACAGGCACACACACTACCATGCCCAGCTAATTTTTGATTTATTATAGAGATGAGGTCTCGCCAAGTTGCCTGGGCTGGTCTCGAACCCGCAGGCTCAGGCAATCCACTCTCCTCAGCCTCCCAAAGTGCTGGGATGACAGGCTGAGCCACCAAACCTGGGCCATACATATATTCTTGTAACAGATAGGATAGATACCCATTCAAAATAATGAGGGAAGTTCCCGGCACACAGAAAGACACTAGTGGCCCACTGTTCAAAGTGACTAACCAAAGAGAACCCTAGTCATTATGCGAACACAATATGGGCCATGATATTATGTACTGAATTCAGTATCAAGTAATTCTTTCATTGGATCTGATTGATGTTTCTCCATAATCTGTAAATGTTAAGATGCTATATCTGGGCTCTTGATCTTTGGTATCTTGTGCTTTTAATTTATTAGCTCCAAGTTTTAGGCAGGGGGATTTCTTAAAAATCCATTCCAATAGAAGATCAAGATTATTCTCAAGTAGTCAAAAGTTCAAAGGCAGCTGGTCTAAGTTGGGACACTTCTCTTTTTTAAAATTATCTATTGTTTTGAGTTGGGGTCTCACTCTGTTGTCCAAACTGGAGTATAGTGGCATGCTCATTACAGCTTTAACCTCCTGGGCTCAAGTGATCCTTTTGCCTCCGTCTCTTTGAGTAGCTGGGACTGTAACCAAGCACCACCATTCCCAGCTTTAGTATATATTTAAATACACACACACACACACACACACACACACACACATATATATATATACTTTTTTTTTTTTTTGAGACACAATCTCACTGTATTGCCCAGGTTGGTCTCGAACTCCTGGGCTCAAGCAATCCTCTTGTCTCAGCTTCCCAAAGTCCTGGGATTACAGATGTGAGCCACCATGCCTGACTTCAGGACCCTTCTTATAATGGAAAACTCAGCTTCCAAGCCACATCTGAAATGACCGTGTTCCATCAGCATTTACCAACATGCACTCCTACCTTTAAGCCTTATCTCAAACAAGCAAAGGCTCTGCAACTAGAAATCTGCCTGTCACCCCCCTACAACAAAGATCTCCAAGTTTTTTGTTGGACACCCGGCATCTTACCCAGCCCTACCTGATCAGAATGGGGAACTCTCTTATATTCTTAATGTCAAAGAGGCATAGATCCTTGACCCAAGTGTCATAGGACTGTTTTACTCTTCTTTCACGGAAACCATATTCTTCAATTTCAGATTTCACTGTTTCCCTTTCGGATTTATCAGATGATAGAAACCATGGGGAGGAAACTGAGAGACTGAACTTTTCATTTTGCAGCTGAAAAGAGGAGCCCCAGGGAGAATGCGACGCCATCTTAGTTTTCTCCATAACATTGGAGACAGAGTTAGTTGCTCCTGGCTCTCATTCCAGGACTTTCTGCCCCACCTTTCCTGTGTCACTGAAGGGGACTGGTGATGCTTTGAAGGAGAAGAGATTGCCCCAGGCACTTCCCCAGACCCCCCCCACCCAGCCCCCTCATCTAAAACAGAAGGAAAGGTCAGGAGCGCTCACTCATTTCCATGTACTCTGGGGCTAGACCGGTGTATGGCTCCAGCCTATAGTCTAGATCCCACTGCTCTGGATGCTTGGAATGGGCAGAGTCAGCTTCTCCGGGTTCCGTCTCATCTTTCAGCTTCCGAAATAGTTTCTTCAGCTTCCTGGAAAAGAAATGGACCAGTCACCAAAAGTGGGAGCCTCTGGAAAACAGGTCCAGTTCTGCAGACAGACAGAAAAAACAACAGCCAAACAAAACAAAAAACTAAGTGTTGACCCTAAAATCGTCTCTGATCTAAGGGCAAATAGAAACTAAGGAGACTACTTTTCTCCTAAAGACAACTTTTATTAAGATCATGAAAAACTCCCCCACAAAGGACCAGGTTTCTTTAAATCTAAGGAAACGTTTAATTGTTCCTGCTGTTTGATAAGCAATAAGAGAGTTGGCCCTTCCTGCCAAAAGCAGAGACAGAGTCAGTCCTATTGTTCGATAGGTGATCTATCCACCCTCTTCATGGGGAACAGAGGCATGTGCAGAAAGGAGTAGAAAGATGCTCTCCTCCCAGGTCAAATACTTTTTGGGTCTCAAAAACATCAACAGCATCATTTTTTCCTCATTAAAGTCAACCTAAACATTGCCTGACACTACTATGAACTGAATTGTTGTATGCTGAAGCTCTAACGTGACTATATTTGGAGACAGCGTTTTTTAGGAGGTAATTAAGAGTAAATGAGGTCAAAAGAGTGGGGTCCCAATTAAACAGGATTGGTGGCCTCATAAGAAGAAGAAAGAAAGGGATCTCTCTCTTTCCACCATGCGAGGACATAGAGAGAAAACAGCTACCTATTGACCAGGAAGAGAGCCCTTGCCAGAAACTCAACCCTGTTGAACCTTGATCTCGGACTTTGCAACCTCCAGAACCATGAAAAAATAAATTTCTGTTAGCTAAACTATCCAATCTGTGGTATTTTGTTCTAGCAGCCTGAGTAGTCTAAGAGAACCACATTCAGGATTTATTTAGTTTAGATAATGTATATATATATACACCATGGAATATTTAACTATTAAAAAGAATGAAATAATGTCTTTTGTAGCAACTTGGACGGAACTGGAGAGTTTCATCCTAAGTGAACCAACTCAGGGACAGAAAACCAAACACTGCATGTTCTCACTTACACGTGGGAGCTACACTGACGACCTGCAAAGGCATAGAGAATGGTATAATGGACACTGGAGACACAGAGGGGGAGGGAAGGAAAGGGTAGAGGAACCAAAACTACCTACTTGGTACAGTGTGCACAGAGGGGATTGGTAGGTGTACTTAAAGCCCAGATCCAAACTATTTGTCCCCCCAAAACTATTGAAGTAAATACTAATAATCACCCAACTTCTCGGTGTTGGTATTAGGATTAACCGAAGCAAGGTTTATATAGTCTTTAGCATCGTATTTAGACAAAGCGAACGTTGAATAGATGATAGCTGTTATTATTTTTTATCTGAAATGTTAAAATATACCTGAGGGTGTGATCTTTTCTGCTTCTCACTGATGTACCATATATAGAGAATGAAAATAGGTGAAGGAGCAAGGTGCCAATTCTGCTCATCTAGCTAACAGAAAGCTGCTAACCGACAGTTGGGAGAATTAGCAGCAGAACAGTTTGCATCACAGACTCGAAGAGTTTGAAAGGAATTTTGAAGTCCAAGCTCCATCCAGATGCAGAAAGCCTCTTTCCAGCCCCACATTCTTCACCCGAGAGCACCCAGCCCTTCTGCAGATGTTTCCAGAGGAACACTCCTGGTATGACTAGACATCCAATAGTTCAAACGTGCTTCTAGCAGTGGAAATCGAATGACTCGAATAGCATTGGGAAGAGTGTCCAGGCTACTGTCATCTGCCATCAGGAGAATGTGGTATGAAGTGGTGGGGAAAAGTCTGATCTTTGGTGTCCGAAAATGGTATGTAAAACCAAGTTTTGCAACTCACAAGCTACGGTTTTTGAGAAGGACATTAAAGCTCTACAAGTTTACATTTTCTTATATGTAAAGTGAAGAAAGAAATATTGACTTGCCTGTAGAGTCTGTTAAAAGGGATGTCTATGTAACATGTTTTATTTAGGGCTTGGTATACACCGAGAGCTCAGTCAATGTATCTGTCACTGTCCCAAGCATCATCATCCTTACCAAAGAAGGATTCAAAAAGTAAGCTGAGACTCATTAGAAGCAGCAGAAAAGATGCATAATAAAATAGCAAGCAGTAGTTCTGTGATAATAGAAAACTGAGAAAAGGGAGACAGAATAGAGTCTAAAGAGACTAAACCCAAATAATGTGTTTTCTGTTCTTTCCATGAGTCAGAACAGAAGGAGAGGATGAAGGGGAAAAGCAATGAAGGGAGAGAGAAGAAAAGAAAGAAGGAAGGCAGGGTGTCTAGAACCAGGACTCCAACTGAGACTTTTCTCCTAGGTATCAGGCATCAGAAAACTTGGACAACTCTTTAGTAAAGAGCAATGAGTGGTTGTGCTTATATATAAAAAATTGAATAAGAGCATGGATCTCTATCCACGCCTGAAATGGCACTAACAAAATGAAAGAATAAAGAATGCATAAAACTGCAAGTTAAAAAAATAGTCATGAATACAGTAGTATCTGAGGGATGCTACTGAATATTTTAGAAGACAAACAGTGCACGAAGGAATTATCTAAAGAAGATTTCATGAACAGTTTGGGTCTGAACAAGAGAATGAAGGATTCTTAGAACTTCCCTTCTAGGATTCATCCTTGAAAAAAAAAATGACTAATAAGACATCTAATGTATTTGAAGAGGTAATCCAGCTGGGAAATGGAACATTTAAACAAGTGTTACCAATAATGTGCGGAGAGTATTATGAAGAGAGATGCTTAGGGGATTACAAGAACATGAAATAGGGACTCTTAATCTGGGCTAACGTGGGGAATTTCTCCCTGAGGAAGAGATGTGTCTACCAAGACTAAACAAAAGATAATAGGAGAAGAGTAGGAAAAGATAGAGAGGGGTGTGAGGGATTATTCTAGACAGAGGAAGTTATTTGGGCAACAAAGACAAATGTGAGAATGGCTCACAGAAAGGACAGAAGGGAATTCAAAATGTTTGGAGCACAGAGTAAAAGAGAGAAAGTGAGGAAAGATAAGACCTGGAAGGTAGCATAAGCTCATGGCACCAAGGCTTTGTATGCTATTTATGCAGTGGCTCAGGTAAGATTATGGTAGCGGAGTCAAGGGTATTAGCAATGGACATGAAGAGTAGACATATTTAAGACATGCTTAGGAGGTAGAATTTTTTTAAAGGGTGGTAGATTGCACATGGAAGGGGGAAATAATAAGAAAGCAAGCATGATCCCCATGGTTTGGGGCACGTGTGTGGATGGTGATGCAGTTTGCTAAGACATGAAACACTACCAAAGAGGTAGTTTTGATAACGGTCAAAAGAGGAAGGGGAGGAGGAGGAAGAAGGAGAGGCGCTCTGGGCTTGTCAAGATGAAGGAACCCATGAGACAACTCAGTCAAAAATTAGTAGGCAACTGTGCATCTATGCCTAAAGCTCTGCAAACAGGTCTGGTCTGGAGCCAGAGTTCTAAGGATCATCACGGAGAGAGCAACCGAAGTCCCAGCAATGAGCAGCATGACTGTGGCTACTGCAAGGGGTCAGAAAAGAACCCTGGGGAAAGTCAACAGTTATGGGATGGGACAGAGGGGGAGAAGCCTTCAAAGAACAGGGAGGGGAGTCATAGAAACAGAAGGCCAACTGAGAGATCTTGGGGCAAAGGAGGAAAGGGAAGATGTGGAGGGACTTTGGGGTTAAAGACCTGTCAAGTGTGGGTAGGTCAAAAATGAGAAGGGGAAAAAAATCCACAATTAGTTCTTATGAACCCACCATTTCCAGAAGATTTCCTCCTGGATATCTCAGTGATCATTTTTAAAAAATTAATAGAAATTCCCTCCAGATCAGAATTTAACAGGAATCCTGCAAGCTGTATAAGATACAGATGGGCTTTTGGAAAACTTCAGATTATGATTCTGACCGTATGATGCACTCACTTGTTAAAATAACTCCTTTGATGTTAGCCCCTTGTCGGTTTTTTTCCCCTTTTTTCCTCATTTGCTATTTTTCCATCTCTTTTTAATGACAAGTCTCCGAAACTCTCTCCAGAAAGCTCAGAGCTTTTCTTCAGCCTCTGCCTCCATGGGCTTACCCCGAGGTTATGGTGATGGTGATTGTCCGTCACACTTCAGACCTCCCTGCAGTCAGATTCTTGGCCCCAGACAGTTCCCTACAGACCTGTCTCCACAGACTCTTAGAAAAGAAGGCAGAACCTAGATTAAGTAGACCAAAGATGAAAAACACATCAACATCTGAGCTATGTATTCCTTTTCAACACCTGACAAGGTTCAGATTTGTTCCCTAAACTGTAGGTTCATGCCAGATTCCACTATATTTGAGGAGAACACAGACATCTTGTGATGGCTTTAAAGAGAGACTGTTTTATATCTTGAAATGTAATATTTGTCACATTTACAAAAAGAAAGCAGAAAATTTATGGAATCTTACTAGCTGTGTCCAGGGGTATGTTTAACAGCTATTTTGGGATGTGATCTGGTGCTTTTAGTAAGAACATAGATGAAGAGGCGTTTTGACAGTGGAAGTATTGATCTGTCTGTCTGCTCTATCCATCTAAAAGTATGCCCAGGAGAGAATCTGGCACTTGAAAAAGGAGGGGCACCAAAACCCCATCTTTCTGAATGAGAAGAAACCCATTTTCCATCTGGCTTCAATGTATACTGGAGCAAAATAGGAGATACAATTATAATGAGGAGTTGAGAGGTGGTGTGGCATGTTTTAGGGGCACTATGCAGTGTGGATCCAAAGTCTGCTTTGCACAAACACACATGGGAGAGGCGTGGTCCGAAGGGAGGGGAGAGAAAGCCCTATTCGTGGATTCAGATGTTAAACAACACAAGATCAGACTGTGCCATGTTGCTCGCCATGTCTGAAGTCATCTCCAAAAAAGTCATCTCATCCTATGAGCATTTTTCTGGGGCCTGTACTGTTTAAAACCACCCTCTTCTCTCTGGAAAGCATCTGTTACAACTGCATCAGGCCCCAGGAGCCTGGACTTGCGTGAGGAGGG